CTTTCCTCACTGTCTCTTTATTTTCTCTTTTTCTCTTTATGTCTCTCTTATCTTTACACACACACACTCTCTCTCTCTCCTCTCACCCTCCCTACCTCACACCCTCCCTACCTCTCACCCTCCCTACCTCTCACCCCCTACCTCTCCTCCCACCTCTCACCCTCCCTACCTCTCACCCTCCCTCTCACCCTCCCTACCTCTCACCCTCCCTACCTCTGCACTAATTTCCAGTCTCCCTCTACTGGTTACATTTGCATCTTGTGATTTGTATCTTGATTTTAGTCCAACGTTGGCAAGGACTTTCTCGCTCTCTTTTTTCCCTCTTTATCGTGTTATTTCTCTCTTTCTTTCGCTCTCTTTTTCTGCATTCTTTTTTTTTCTTTCTTTCTTTCTTTCTCTCTCTCTCTCTCTCCTCCTTGTATCGACAGTTGCTCCAGGGCCATATTCTAATATATTACCGACTCACTGGCTGCAGGGGGAGGTGGGAAGGGGGGACTGAGCCTTTTAACACAGGTGAGGTTATTAAGAGATGCCCTGGGGTGGGGGTTTACCTGTGCTGGCCGAGGAGCAGCTTACCTGGAAAAGGCCAAGATGATCAGTTTAGGGAGGGGGTCTGTGTCTGTCTGTCTGTGTCTGTCTGTCTGTGTCTGTCTGTCTATCTGTCTGTAAAGAGTCTAGGGAGGGGGTATATGTCTCTGTCTGTCTGTCAAGTTGGTGCCTCTCTGGAGTGAAGGCGGTTGAGCTAAACTTGCCGCATTTGTTACTCAAGGACACCCGTTCGATCACGGCTGGATGGAGGTAGTCAGGCTTACCTTGAGAGAGAGAGAGAGAGAGAGAGAGAGAGAGAGAGAGAGCACCATCATCAAACACTTATCTTCTCTGTGTTCAGCTCATTGGTCTGCCTGATTTGCATATTGATTGAAGGCGACGGCACATAGTTAGGGAACATTCACGTTGTAAATTATTGAACACTGGATAAAAATGATCTCTGTCGTTAGTTTGCTGTTAACTATATTATACTGAGGCGAACGTGAGCTGACAGACAGACAGACAGACAGACAGACATAGATAGATAGATAGATAGATAGATAGATAATGATTGAATATAGAATGTTTTAGTTTGTTTCGTTATTCGTGTTTGTTTTTAATTTTCTGTTTTTATTATTTGTTTATTTATACATACATACATACATACATACATACATACATACATACATACATACATACATACACTCCTCTAAATCTGATGACGGAATTTTATACAAAATATATACAACAAAAGAAATCAGTGAACTCAATTAATAACAAATAAACAATAAATGCAAACTATCAACACTATAATATATAATAACTCTGGAGCAATAAGAGTACAGTAACACTCGCTACTTACTGTATGGTTTAGGAGACAGGAGACCAGATGTTACCTTCACAGACTATACTCACTAACTGACTCTGAAGCACACCAGATTTTACACCACCCAACCAGGACCAATCACAGGGCCCCCACATACTATGGTACCAAGACCGGCCAGTTATACCCCAGGCTGATCGATGGCCAACACCATCTTGTGACCATAGTCTTTCCTACACACCCTCTGGATCCTATACCCAAATAATGAGATGACTTTAGATCCCGTTCCCCTGTAATACTGTAATGCTCAACTGTAATCCTTGAAACGAGAGAGATATATAGATCTATGCTGTAACCCTTTGAGATGATAGACTTTTGTAATTCTCTTCTGTAATCCATGAGACGAAGATTTAAAGTATTGTCTGTAAGTTTATGTATCTTTCAAGGGTTTTTTTCCGTATCACTATAATTCTGTACCTTTGAAACCTCCGGATAATTGTACATTTTTTTGTTTTCCTTGAATTAGGTTTCCAAGCATCTTTATAAATGTGTTCGGTTGAGGCTGGAGACAGGAGTGGTAAGATATATCTCATCAATTCACTGTGTCTCTCCCCCAGCTAAGAGAAATAGAGATAGAGAAAGAAAGAGCGAGAGAAATCGAGAGAAAGAGAAAACAAAAGAGAATAAATATGTTCTCAATACTAATCATCTCCCACAATGCATCAAAAATCACCTGTAATTAATTCTCTTATCTTTTCACTATGTCAATGGAAATCCTACCCCAAGACATTCTCTGTAACTCTCCTCGTGGAAGACTTGACTACCTCACACATAGCTTAGACATATCTGTGATTCATTACCTTTGAGGACGCAGAGGACGCAATACACAAGGACGCAACACATACCTAACATAGTCACAACAGATCACTATCACCATCACCCTTGTACATTCCAGAGTTTAGCGAATTGATGTGAAATAAAAAAGACACCCTTTCCCTTCCTTCCCTTCCTGCTTCTCTTCCTTCCCTCCTTCACTCCTTCCCTTATTGATGTATAACTCCCTATTCACTTTCTCCTCTCGTGAATAATTGCTTCGTCTCTCTCATGAATAATGGACATGCTGGAACGCTATATCTGCCTCGGTTGTTGCTGCCTGTGTGTTGGAGTGATTCTAACGCCTTCTGGAGGGATGGATAGCAGCAGTAGTAGTAGTAGTAGTAGTAGTAGTAGTATAGGTAGTAGTAGTAGTATAGATAGATAGGTGAAGAGAAAACAGATAGAAAGAGAACTAAATAGAGATAAAAACAGTAAGAGAGAAAAAGAGAAACACTACCTATTTTTTAGAGAATAAAAACAAAATAAAATCAGTCGAAATGTTTATTGTGTAAATTACATAGTATTTATCTCTCTCTCTCTATATATATACACACATATAAGTATTTGCTTACATATACAAAAATATACAAAAATACAAATATTGAGGGAGTAAAATAAATTTGTATATATATAAGTGCGTCTTATTGGCAAGTCGACCTGCAAGGATAAGGAAGGAAATAGCAGGCAAGTGATAATAGGGAATGAGATAAAGAAGGAAAATAAACATATATATATATATCCTTATTTGGTATATATTTCAAGTAAGTTTATCTTCTGTTTAATTTTTATATTATGTAAAAACAACAGAAATTCGTTTTTTTTCTGAGGGGGGGAGGAGAGGGTAAAGATTTGGTATAGTCTTCCATCTGTACCACTTCCCCATTTACTATGTGATTGTGTTTAATGTCTTATCTCTTTCTTTTATCTGCTCTATTTTCTTTTATTGGTGGCATTTTCTTTTATGTGAGCCATTCTCTTTTATACCTACCACTTTCTTTAATTTGCACAAGTCAGTTCTTATATGCCTTGATTCTCTTCCAGCCAGCCGCCAGCGAGCCAGTCAGCCAGCCTCTCTTCCTCCCATGATAGTTAACAAAAATCACTAATCTGGTGTTAAAAAGGTACCAAGAATGGGAACACTGCGCTATTTGATCTTCAGATGATATGAACAAAACCAAAACATCGATTTACCGTAACAAAGATTAAACTTAACTTGAGGAAACTTAATTTAATTCACCTAGGGTATTTTTTTGGGGGAGGGAGGGGTGAGAGGAGGGAGTCAAGGTAGGATATATCTAGCTGGTTGTGTTGTTGGCTGTTCACTATAGATGTGGTGGCATTCTTGTTCGTGGTACTTGATCACATACTCCAGCCAACATTCTTCTCTATGGCAATATTTTACTCCTCTCATTCGTTAAAGATTCTTATAAAAAAAACGTGTTATTTTTATATTTAACGTCTACATGAAATAAGTTTTTTTTTTTTTAGAAGTGTTAAATGTACTAATGAACTTTTTTTTCTCTTGACCGACAGATTACACCTACTGAGAGAATTATTGATCATACGCCCGCCACCGCTGCTGCAAGGTACAGTACAAGAATTTTTTTTTTTTGCTTTTTCTATCTTTGAACATTAATCCTCTAAGTTTTGATAGCAACTAAAGTCTCACCATATGGATTAATTTCGTAATATTACCGAGTTAGATTCACGTTATGAACAAAATTGAAAGTAGAGTAAAATATTGAACCAGTACGATATCTTCTGGTTAAGATTGACACCCGCACCACCTCCCTTCAGTCCCTCACTGTGAGTTAGGATGATGTGCCCGGCAGCCATCAGTGCTCACTAAACACAACTACGTGACCAGTTCTTGATCATTCTTGTTGTATCTTCAGGTTCCCACGAAAATTTGAAGTTTTGTTCCCTCCTTATAAAAGTGATTGTGTGCGTTACTTACACTGTGATGTAATAGAAGTATATTAAAGCAACATAACCTACAAACAACCTGGCTACTTACAGCATATAAAGGAATAATTATCAAAGTCAGGAAACAGCGGTAGAAATGTCCACAGAAGTGAGTCTTAGGAGTACAGAATTAGCACTTGGGGTCCACAGGTGACTCAGGGTGACCAAGGGGTAGTTCAGGTGACCTCAGATGACCCAAGATGACCTTAGGTGATCACAGGCAAATTAGGTAATTCCAGGTGACCACAGATAACCCTAGGTGACCACAAATGACCTTAAATGACCCTAGGTGACCTCAGATGACCCTAGGTAATTCCAGGTGAGCACAGATGACCCAGCATGTCAAAATAATAACCTATACGACGCACTTGCTATAACGTTTCTCTTCTCAACCAAATATCAGAATCGTCTCAAAAAGATAAACAAAGGTTATTTTTTCTTTCTCAAACTATCAACCAAAATTATCGATAAAAAAGCACTACCAATAGTTAAGAAAATCCCGTCCAAATTTCATGAAAAAATTCTTCGTCTGATGGAAATAGCAGTAATAAAATCCAATACAGGAATTAACTATAAAAGATGTCATTAAATTCAATATTATCGTCATAAGAATTTTTTTACATGAAGTTTAATAATTATTTTTATTAATTAAATTTGAACTTGATAAATGAGACGTTAAATATTCCTTACTATAATATTAACATAAAATAATAGAAATATAAAGAGTAATATAAAATAAGAGACTATGACATTTAGTAAAATAAATCTAAATTATAAAAAATAAATAACACTAATCTATAAACACACGTGATAATGTAACTTGTTATATTCAGTTCAACTTTAACCAAAATGAACAAGTGTATAAGTTCAACACATTTAGATTTTGATATATTTATTTTAACTTCGATAAAATAAAGTATTTAAACTCTATATATGTAACTATTTTGTGAATAACTTTTTTTTGTGTCGTGGATATTTGTATCGGAAACTAAGAACATGTCGAGCACTTCACACACACACACACACACACACAGAGGTAAAGTTACTGTAGTGTTATATAAGACAAAATTACAGTTTTGTGAACTTTGAAACTACGGCAACTGTTTGAAATAAGTCAATGTGCTCAGACGTGATCCTCAGAAAATAAGATAAATGTATATACTGTATATATATATATTTTAGTGTTTTTTTAATATGTAAATTATGAGCATCGTCTACATACATCTGTCTACAGTTCTACAATCGCGGTCAAAAGTTTCGCTTCCTGTGGGTGAAACTGAGTCGCGGGAATGAGCACTCCGAACTGATTCACCCTGATAGTCGTATTGATGTGGGTGTGTTGTTCCATCTCATCAAGGGGTCGACACTGCTTCACTTAGGGGGAGCAAACTTCTGACCCCGAGTGTACAGTACATCATAGAAATAGATAAGAAAATTCATTTAGTTTATCACATTCTCTCTTAACTACTGTACCTTTTCTCCTCACAACATAACAAAAAAAAATCAACGTGTTTTATTTTTTGTACAACTTGTGGTTCAGCGCCGCTAACAAACACGTGTGATAAGTGTTATATTCTCCCGTAGTTCATTATTAACAGAAACAGAAGAGTCACTTAACTAGATATAGCACCAACACACACACACACACACACACTTAAAACACCATCTTGCACATTATAGAGAACTTGAAAATGATAATATTTATACGATAACTTTATACAATATCAAGGACTTCAAAAATATCACGATAACATTCAATTGAGAAAAAACTAACACAAAAAAGTCTACTTTATCTAAGTGACAAAGAACATTAAATTCGCAATGCCAGATTCTCAAAGATTCCTAAGTTGATGAGTCCTCGTGGGCTGAGAGTGAGGAAGGAAGTTAAGCGTCGAGTCTCAGTGTAATTTCTATGACATTTTGGCTCAGTGACGAAATTTCAAGTAGGAACCTTTGGGAATCTGGTCCTTGGGTTGTGTGTGTTGGCATCACTGTGTTCAGGTGAATTGTTTACACCTGTTCACTGTGTACACTCTGATGCTGACCCGAGGTGCTGTCTACAGTCTTACGGTAACTCTGGTAAAGACTATTGAAACGAGACATTATTGACAGCCACTGATAACCATGGCAGAGGTACAGCAACAGCCACAGTCTCTCTTCATACCCACAGTCACCAACAGTTACAGTCTACAGTCACCCTATACCACAGTTACCAATCAGCCACATTCTCTCTTCATACCCACAGTCACCAACAGTTACAGTCTACAGTCACTCTATACCACAGTTACCAGCAGCCAGTCTCTCTCTATGCGACACTTACCAACAGCTTAATGTCGTGTTCAGAAGTTGGTCACAAGTCTCGAGATAAAGTGTTCCTACAAGACGTGTTTCTCTCCTAGTAAATCCTCACAAACTTTTAATCTTCCCTCAGGTTTGGTTAAGCTGAACTACCTCATCCTAAGCCAGGTAGAGTTATCTTACCTTTGTTATTAATTCAAGATAATATTCCTTTTTAACTCTAATGGAACTAAACATACTTGTGGTTCCTTTAGTAAGCCAGCTATAGTGACATTACTTCCACTTCCGGTTCACGGCTTCAGTTCTAACGCATGCGCAGTGATGTTATTATTCGAGTCTTGCGTTACTTCTTCAACACTGTCGGGAGCTGTTGTTTGTTAGTTTAGTTCATGCGTTCTGTTTCCCAGTAGTATCAGAAGTTCCTCACCATGCGTTATGTAATCTTCAGCACTGACGCATGCGCAGAGGAGGTTTTTATACGTTCTCTCAGCAGCAGAAGCACAACAGAGAGAGAGAGACACGCGAACGCCCACACACAACCCAGGTAGGCCACCAAAGAACCACTACCCATCAGGAAAAAATGAACTTCTACTTTTATTTAGCTTAAAGTAAACTCACACGTGATGGCTTAGCATACAACAAGTAAAATTGTCAAAAACACTCTAATATAATATTTTTCATCCGTTTCCATTATTTACAAACACACTGAAAGTTGTCCATTTTAGTCTTAAGTCTGTTATTTACAATTTTCTTATGGTTTAGACTGACTACTTTATCACAACACACTCGCCGCCCTCCAGTCTGTCGTGTGGAGTCTCCCCACTAACACCAGCGCCACGCCCGTCACCCACACCCACCAACACGCCCCCACGCCCACGCTGCGGGGACAAGCTTGCCCACCGCTGATCCTCTGAAGGCTGGGAACGGTGTCTATAACCTCAGCCAACACGAAGAGGGAGAGACGCACGTCGTGGTGGATCTTGGATGAGCGATGGTTGATCATCTTCGCCACCTTGCTGATCGGCGTGTCGCATCGGTTCTGGAATGATGGGAATTGTTACAACCATCTGTCGTTCTGGAATAATTGGAATTGTGTGGGTTTGAGGCACCTGCAGTTCTGGAATGATGGGGGGGGGGGGGACCTGAAGTACTGTATATAATGTGTTCGACTTAAGGTCAACACACACACACAGAGTCTAGGTGTCCTTATCATTAAAGTGAAACATAATTTCTGAGTGTATGAATGTATGTATGTACGTATGTATATATGTAAGAGTAAACATACAGACGTGTATAATCAAGACCCAACACAAGAGAATCCGCCTCCTAACATTCTCCTAATGTCACAATTATACCACAAAAAACCTGCCAGAGTTAAGAGACTAAATTAACACAGAAATGTTTGTTTTGGGGGGAGGCGGGAGGAAAGTTCCAGCTCTAGTGGCCAAAGTTCCCCGGAGAAGAAGTAGGAATAATAATAATAAAAAAGTCTTAAAGCTTTTGTTAAGTGTATCGTCTGAGGTGAATGGTCGACTAGGGGTATTATTTTTATTTCAGTTTAATTTTGTTTCTTTGTTTTCATTGGGTAGTAAAGAGACAGACAGACAGATAAAGTACATGTATAAACAAAGGATAAGAAAAAACAAAAGGGGTGGAGGGTAAGTGAGGTTATAAAACTATAAGAGAAAGACCCGCTCAGAGGATCAAAAGAGCATCACTGGAGACCATTACCAACAGGAGCCGATCGTCCTGACCCTCTCCCCTTCCACACACGCTCTCAGATCCCCCTTCCACCCCACCCCCCCACCCCCGGACACACTCAGATCCCCTCCATACTCTCAGATCCCACACACACGCCTCAACATATGGACCCCGATTACCTTCACCGCTGGGGTCCTCTCATCTATACAACAACAACACACACACACACTTATCGTCGCCACACTCTTGCACGAACCGGTTTTATTTTACGATATCCCACCAAGACACAATATCTAAAACCCCCCCTTTTAAAGATATGATACAATAAGGTTATAGGAATATTTATAAAGGAATTGGATTCGATTTACCGAGGTATGAAGGATCAAGAGTCAATTGTGGCGCCATAACTTATAACTATTTTTGTGGCGAACTTTCAGTGAGAATCTTTGGGAGGGGGGAGGGAGAGGGGGGGGTTAGAATAATTTACCCATCAATTTCCACAGTTTGTACATGAGAGGGGGGAGGGTGGGTGGGGGGATAGGCACATATAACAAGTCAATAATAATGGCTTGCTCCTTGTGTTCGATGCTGACCGACGTTAGAGACACCCGGATGTGAATTTATTTAACCAGTAGAAACTGTCGCCAACACAACAACCACATCATGAGTTAACATATACGAACTAATGTCAAGGAATAACCCAAGAAGACCGGACAACTCACCAACTGTACTGGCTAACCATTACTCCAGAACACGATCCTGAAATCAATTAACTTCCAGGTTCTTGTTTATTTCTTCCTCTTTTATCATAGTTTGTCTCTCACTATCATCAATGTGTCTCTCCCTCTCCCTGTCATCACGCCCTCATATAACAGCTACTGACACCACCACTTTAGCCTGTGTCCACCCGGCTCTAAGTAACGTTACCTACCCTACTATTAACTATTGGTACAGTGACACGAGGTTGAGTTTGGTGTGTGTGCGTGTGTGTGTGTGTGTGTGTGTGTGTGTGTGTGTGTGTGTGTGTGTGTGTGTGTTTGGATATACCAGTGTTTTAATATTATGTGTTTGAAATGTTTAGTGTGTTTTTAAGCGAATAATTTTTCCCTTGTTCAAACTAATCGGTATTTTTGTCTTGCATATCTGGATTATGAGTTAGTGGGTGACTAGTTATTCCGGATTATCGATATTCCAGGATTGTATTTCCGGATTATCGGCACTAGACACATAGATTAATTCGGATTATCGGTATTTCAATGCTTTAACGCGAATTACTTTACAAGAACGAACGATATACACAAACAATCGGCGTTCTGAAGGTAACAACACAGGGAGGGTTACAAGATGTGCTGTAGGCTGTGGTGGTGGTACAGGAGTGAGTACAGCGGTGATGAATGGCCTGACGGAGCTGTAATCTTAGACCATTTATTAGTGGGTACAGCCTTGTAAGCTTCGTGAGGCTTCAAAGGCTTCTGTTCACCTTCTAGCAAGTCGAGAGAGAGAGAGAGAGAGAGAGAGAGAGAGAGAGAGAGAGAGGATAACGTTAAAAACAAGTAAGAAATATAGATAAAAAGAAAATATGAGAAAAATAAAAGAAAAGAATGAGAAAGTGAAGATCTTTTACACACACACACACGTACCCTCTCCTCCTGTAACATATTGAGGGTGTAGGTGTTGTTGGTGACGCTGGAAGACACCTGGATGTGTCGCACCTGAAGCACCAAGTTGCCATTTGTGTACTGAAACACCTCAAGTCGACACTCCTCCTGTAGGGAGAGAAATGAATGTTGTTACTGTACACCCTGAGAGAGAGAGAGAGAGAGAGAGAGAGAGAGAGAGAGAGAGAGAGAGAGAGAGAGAGAGAGGAGAGCCAGGAAGTTATGGTGTTGATCCAGGTGAGGCTGTCTTGATCGGCTGGGTTGAAGACGGAAGTAGTGAAGATTGAAGGAAAGAAGCATAACAAGGGATCAGAAGAGGGGATATGCAGAGAGAGAGAGAGAGAGAGAGAGAGAGAGAGAGAGAGAGAGAGAGAGAGAGAGAGAGAGAGAGAGAGAGAGAGAGAGAGAGAGAGAGAGAGAGAGAGAGAGAGAGAGAGAGGTGAATGGGAAGGGTAAAATCTGAAAAACAAACACTGAATAAATAATATCTTGTGATGTCTCTTAAGTTTCTGTCAACAACAAGTACTCTTCCTCCTCCTCTTGTTCTTCCTTCACCACTCTTTCTCCTCTTCCCCTTCCTCCTTCTCCACCACTACCACCTCTCCTTTCATCGACCTCCTCCTCCTCTCTTCCTCCTCCTCCTCCTCTTCCCCCTCCTCCTCTTCCCCCTCCTCCTCATCCATCCTTCCTCCCTTGCTGTTATGACGTATTCAAAGCTCCACTACGTGCATGAGGGTTAGGACCAAATGACCTAAGAATTGACCTTTTGACCTGACCTCCTACCTGTGATAAATGAACAAGCCAAGAAAACACGAGAAATGATATGAGAAGGAGTGACGGTGTGGTGTTTCGAGGTCACACACACACACACACACACACACACACACACACACACACACACACACAGCAGGAAGCCCTAATGGATGAGGTAAATGTCAAAGGTGACCTTGAAGCAGTAAGCGGGTCTTTTATCATCACCTGATCGAAGACTTTGAGATACCTGTGGTAATTAGAGGTCGTGTGTGTGTCATTACTGTAGTGAGGTAAATTATTATTATTGGGGGGTTGGGGGGGGTTGTTATTATTGTTATTACACTTTTATTATTATTATTATTATTGTTTTTATTAATATTAGTAGTAGTAATATATTGGAATAGTAAATGTACAGAAAGTCTCTATATAAGATTTAAAACAACGGAGAAAATTATAATTAATGAAATGGAATAAACATAAGAATATAAATAAAATGAAATTGTAGAAGAAATATTGAATAAAGTTATGAACGAGGAAAGGAATGATAGATAGAAGGTAAACAGAGATAAATCAGGAAAGTAGAGAGAGAATAGAGAAAGAAAAATACGAATGATTGGACTGTGAGGTGTAATAACGAGAGACAAGTGAGAGATAATGACGGAGTTTGTGTCTCTCCTCCTACCTCTGTGTGAGAGAGAGAGAGAGAGAGAGAGAGAGAGAGAGAGAGAGAGAGAGAGAGAGAGAGAGATTGTCTCATAAGAAAGGGGAGTTATCGATTCACCTCAACGTCAGAATAATTGTTTGTAAAGAGGATAAAGATATAGTCTCCTCCTATCGTCTCTCATTCCTCCTCACCTTCCTCATTAGTGTAATTTCTCTACCCTATTATCTTCCCTCCTCCCTCTACTCCCTTCACCCTTCTTCTACCCCCCCCCCTTCTCCTCCACTTCCTCTTCCTGCTTATTCTCTCTTCATCCTCCTCTTCCTCTACCTTCCTTTCCTCCCACTCCCACCTCCTCCTACTCCCAACCTCCTCCCCCTCCTCCCCACTCCCACCTCCTCCTCCCTCCTACCCCACCCTCCTCCTCCTCCTACACCCACCTCCTCCTCCCCACACTCCCTCCTCTCCCTCCTCCTCACAACAGATCGATGGTGTAGGGCTTCTCACACACACACACACACACACACACACACACACACACACACACACACACACACACACACACACACACACACACACCCACCACTGGTCTCCTCTTACCATAATGAATTACTCAAGTCTCACCTTAAATATTCACGTCACTAATTATATACCTATAGGGCTATGTATACCGGTATATATATAGAAACTAGTGACATACATACATACATACATACATACATACATACATACATATTCAATTATACAAGTTTTCATCTCTCATAGAACTAGTAAGATATTGTAGATACACTTTCTGATTTTAGTCGATGTTTACAAATATATAAACAGTATGTATAATGTATTTGGTTTTTTCGTCAAATTATTTTTGTTTTTAAATGTTATTACTTAATGGATGGATGATTATATATGGTAAAATGTTGTGTTTCATAATTTAACCAAACTGTACACATACATATGGATACACACACACAGATACGCACACACAGTCACGTATATACATAGCCACACACAGATACGCACACATAAATAGTTACGTACACACACACACACACACACACACACACTTAACATTTACTTACATAACTTTAAACAGACACACAAGATAAATGTTATAACGTGTCCAACTAGCAGTATGGGGCTTAACACACACACTAGAGGCGCTGTAAAAGAACTACGCGTACTTAATGGAACCAGGTGGGAGGTGAAGGTTGTGGGGGCAGGTTAATGAGGGGGGGGTTGAGACGGAAATTACCTGCCGTCAGTGTTTCAAGTTGCCATCGTAAAAAATTAATGGCTTAAAAACTCATTTAATAAATCTTTAAACTTATTTTTCTAATTATCTTACCATTTTTTTTTTATTTATTAATGATTATTTAAGTTGTTGTTTGTCCCTAGTTATTGCCACCATACACGTGTGGGAGTGAGTTACCATGGTTACGGTGTTGACAACGACTGTACAGCCAGCATCACCGTGTGTGTGTTTACTTTGTTATACCTGGTAATAAGACACTCTACTTACCGTGTTTATGATAGTGTGTCCAGGTGTGTGTGTGTGTGTGTGTGTGTGTGTGTATTTTCCTCTGTGTTACCCTAAGTGTGTATAGAGTAATGATAGTGTGATGAGTGTGGTGATTACGTGGGCAGCGACACACACACACACACACACACACACACACACACACACACACACACACACACACACACACACACACACACACACACAGCCACCGTGAGTGTATTTGTAAGAGCACTTTGATGCCACTTTGTTGAGTAATAGCTGTGAGAGACTTCAAGTGAGTTTTCGTTTAAGCTAGCTCTCAGGTGATCAGGGCTGGCCAGGTAACTACACACACACTGGCGCCCTGTACGGTGACCACACAAAGCCTGTCTGATACACTTCATGTCTCGTGTTGGGTTACGTCTGTCTGAGTGAGTGGGACGCTGTTGGTGTGTGTGAGAATTAGTTGTTTTCTTTCCTTTGTTCACCCTTCTTAGTGGGCTCAGTTCTACTCTGCCTCACAATAACAAAGTGTTTCTCTGGTCTTCCCATCAGAGATCCAGTGTTCTTAAGCCTCATATGTGGTGTATTTTCCTCAGCCAAGACAATAGGAAACTGTGTCAAGTCCTGTGAGCGTCAGCAGCACTGGTAGAGTGTTTGGTGTTGGAGGTGGAAAGTTGTGACCACTCGTACGAGGCGGCGGGTGGTGGTGTGCTGTCCAGCTCTAACACTCACCTCACGCCCACCACGGCTGTGAAACATTGACACAGCCAGAAACACAGCAGGTATGTTGCCAAACTTAGGACAACGATCACATGAAGTGGAAGTCTACAGTCAGCCTCCTCCTGACGGGGCTGCTGACGTAGCTGCTTCTTGTTGTGAATCAAAACATTAACCCTTGTGGTAGTCTTCCTTGAGTGCCATAATGACATCTTTGAGTTCTTTTAGTTTTGTTAACCTCGATATAGTTTACCTCCTGATCTGCACCAGGGCCATCAGCCTCACCAGTGTGTCCTCAGACGTCTGTCCTCACAGGTGGATCCTTCAACAATCCTGGGATATAACTGACCCATACTATGTCCACCTCCTGTATAGTCTGCTGCTGGGGAGGACACGCGGCGTAAGGATGTCTTATATGCAGTCCTGGAAGGTCCTGCTCCTGGTCGTGGTAACACAATGACCACAGGAGCCCCATCTATCATGTTGGCAGCAGCGTCTTGTGTGGCTGTTAGGGCTTGGCACGTCTCCCAAGGCTGTGATGCAAATAAAATTTGTTCCCACTCTCTGCTGCCCTCACCTAACATGGACGGTGACGCTGCCTGGTGTTCGTGTCGTAAGAAGTCATCAAGGTTTACCTGTCTGGCCTGACAGGCTTTGTACAGTTTTGTGAGGAAGTGTTGAAGGAAGACGCTGCACATTAGTTCTTGATTATACTCAGGCTGGACATCTTGTGAGGAAGGAATGATTGGTTTCTTTCACACTGTCACTGATTGACTGCTGTGTGTTGCCTCCAGCCCGTTGTATTGTACCGTCCCAGACGTGTGTGTCAGTCAGCCGTGTGTACCGTGTTTAGTGTTTTAATGAGGGTAAAGTTATGAATGAGACACACTGACCTGGTTGTCAGAAAGCAGTAAAACTCCACATGTACAATTTACTGTCCGACAATAAAAACATAATTTGTTACCCGAGTTTGATTTACTTATATACTCAGAGATTAATTGACTAACGATGTATATAAATGGATGAACAAATTGTCCAAATAACTGCCAGAGTATCGTGTTTACAGCACCGAGTTGTGTTTGACGATATACCAAGCTGTCAGGCAGGGCTTGACTTGGCCTGGTCCAGTTATGTTAGGAGGCACCTCATCGTGTCTTACAATACTTTACTAATAAATATGATCTTCTCCTCACAGTCTACAAGGCTCTTCCCTCAGGTGCTGGAGGTATACATCAGGTAGCAACGCAGCAGACATTACCTCGTGTCTCTATAATGAGGCCGAGAGACACACACTGATGGACGACTAACGAGGAGACATTCAAGGTAAAATCACCTCAGGGACGCCGCAGCTGGAGTGGACTTAAGAGAGAGAACGACCAGCTCTAAGCCCTCCTACGTAAGGATATAGGTAACTTGTTCAATTCTTCTAATATCTTATAAACCCCACCGAGTTATCAGACAAGTTATCGTTAGATCTGTTCAGTGAGTTCTACCCCTTCCCCCATCCCACACCCCTCGCCACCAAGCTAAACTTACCGACCTTAAAGAATCACACACATATACTCGTCTCATCCTCGCCATAAGAAACACCAACTACATATCCTTCACCTTTTAGACAACACTAACAATAAACTGAATATATTACATCACTTAATGTATATCTTCCACAGTATCGTCCGCCGTCTGGTTTGAGTTGTGTAACTAATGTCAGCATCATGAAAACAATTAACAGCGATATTGCACACTTGTTGAGATAAAATTGCAAAAAATTACAATCTATTGGACTGACGTCAGATAATTAAAGACACACACACACACGCAGTCACACACAACTCCCACCCACATACACACTCATACATCCACACAAACATATCCACCTTCGACACCAATACACCCACATCCACACCCTACAACACACACACACACACACACACACACTAAAATCAATCAAACTCAAGCCGAGCCTCAAGTCACTAGGGACTACCACGGGTGAAGGTAGAGGTTCAGGGCGTCGCCACAGCATCAGAGGAACCCGTGAGCTTTTTACACCACAGAGGCGGAGGAGGGTGGCGGGGTGGCGGAGGAGGGTGGCGGGGTGGCGGAGGGGGGTGGGGGGCGCCAACACCACTAACAATATACCGGAGGTGGCCGCTATCACCGTGATTTCCCCTGGCGGCCATGGCGGGGTTCCCCATCCAACTCTCACCTGCACATAATATTTCTGCCAGGAAGGTCGCTATGTTCTGAATGTTCACCTGGAGAATGTTGAACAGATCGTGGGAGTTGGTTTCTGGGAGGAGGTGGCTGGTGCTGAGAGTCTTCTGGTCTTCTTGAGGATTTATTGGAGGAGGAGGAGGGAAGGGTGAGAGGTGGGGGAGGGGGAATTAAGGGTGGATGAGGAGGGGACAGGGTGGATGAGGGGAGGGGAGTGAAGGTGGATGAGGAGGGGGAGTTAAAGGTGGATGAGGAGGGGAGCAGGGGTGACGAGGTGAGGGGGAGTTAAGGGGTGGATGAGGAGGGAGAGTTAAGGTGATGAGTGAGGGGAGTTAAGGGGTGGGATGAGGAGGAGCATGTGATGAGGAGGAGGGGAGCAAGGGGTGGATGAGGAGGGGAGCAGGTGGATGAGGAGGGGGAGTTAAGGGTGGATGAGGAGGGGGAGTTAAAGGTGGAAGGAAGAACAGAAGGATTTAAGGGAAGGAGGAGAGGAGGAGGAGGAGGCTGGCGCCATTAGGGTATAACCATGGTCTGGAGAGAAGTACTTCATCCCCACCGCTTACCTCCTCTCATCCCCCTCCTCACCTCTCACACCCTTCCTCACCCTCCTCATCCCCACACCTCTATCTTTACGCCCTTACCCCTCACCTCCCTCCATTCCCCATTATCCTACACCCTGTCAATTCCCATCTCCCCGTCCCATCAACACTTCCACCCCCCGCGCCACCTACACTCCCTCCTTCCCCGATGACGTAGCTGGCAGGTGTTAACTATTTGGTGTGACGGAAACAAACAAGCCACATAAAATAAATCTCACTCAATAATGTATAGGAATTATTCATTGTTGTATAATATCTCGGGGGGCGCGGATTTATTCACGACTATTGATGTATTATTCACGGGATTGACTTATAAATGACGTTACGAGACGGATTTATTCACGACTCGATGTATTATTCACGGTGTCGACACGAGAAGTTAAAATTCGCGTGCAAGAATGTCTTTGTCTAATAGTTCAATATAAGACTTTTAAAATTGTCAATGTTTCTCGAGGTTAAATACTGATGTTTGTGTCGTGTCTATACTTAATGAAGAAATTACTTGTACGTGCTCTATGTACACATGCTACAAAGTACACATAACACCACACATACACACACATATAACATAACACGATATACAACCTTTACACATAACAGTTGAGTTAATGAAGTGATATGAATGGTGTTTGTTAATGAGGGTAACTTAACATGCAGTATAACACTACACACTGACCTGACCTGACCTGACCTGACCTAAGATACAACACATATCTACAACATTAACTATATTTACTAAAGAAGGTTTACAACTTATAACTATATATTACAACAGGTTATAAGAGACACTTCAAAACTACAACACACACACAGCTGTTGCCCATGTTATCCAGCCAAACAACTACAAGACTACATAAACTAACGTAGAATTTAAGGTACGGTTTCTACATCCTATGTTAGTACTGTAGTGGTGTAGAAGAGACACAACTACGAAACTACATTATTTAAGTAAGCAATAGCACTTATAGTCAAAGCCAACTAAAGTAAATTAAAAAAAATATATACATATTAATTTTGGACATCACCTGAAAATTCTCCCCCTCTTAGTTTATTTCACCTGAGGTTTAACCACCCTACCTGTAACCTAACCTAACCTAACCTAACCACCCTACCTGTAACCTAACCTAACGCTACCTGTCGGGGGGAGGGAGGTAGGGGTGGTTAAGTGAGATTAGATTTAGGATAAGTTAAGTTAGGCAATATTGTTAGGATAGGTTATGTTAGGTTAGGTTAGGTTAGGTTGGGTCAGGTCAGGTTACCATTAAGGTGGTTAATCTTCAGGTGCAACAAGCTGGCGGGGAGAAGTGTAGGGGAGAGTGATCAGGTGAAGGTAAGCAGCCATCACTGTACCAGAGGGGAAGTAATACTAACGCCCATGTTAGCAGAGATGGTGGTGAAGATCTCCTGCAGGGGAGCAAGAGCCTCGATAGCGGTGCCGCCCGTCACGTTCCTCAGCAGCGCCTCCTCCGTCTTGCTGAACCCCAGCAGCAGGAACAGTCCCGTCGGTAACTCGAATTCCTCTGTAACACAACAACGTACAGTGACTGTAACACAACAACGTACAGTGACTGTAACACAACAACGTACAGTGACTGTAACACAACAACGTACAGTGACTGTAACAACGTACAGTGACTGGTGACTGTAACACAACAACGTACAGTGACTGTAACACAACGTACAGTGACTGTAACACAACGTACAGTGACTGTAACACAACAACGTACAGTGACTGTAACACAACAACGTACAGTGACTGTAACACAACAACGTACAGTGACTGTAACACAACAACGTACAGTGACTGTAACACAACGTACTGTACTCGCCAACTATGGGTTAACATTTAATTCACTGGTTAACTTAAGGGAAAAATTAAAATTAACTTACAAATTTAACTCTGTGTGTGTGTGTGTGTGTGTGTGTGTGTGTGTGTATACGTTCTTCATACCCCCGCCGTCCGTTCCTCTGTCACAACTCGCCTGTGCCTCTTAAAAGCTTGACTGTAACCCACTTTAAACCAATTTCAGGGCTGAGTGGGGGCGGAGGAGAGGAGGGGGGGGGGTTGAAGGGAGAGGGAGGAGGATGAAGAAGTTAAGGGGGAGCAGGGGTGAAGGGAGAGAGAGAGAGAGAGAGAGAGAGAGAGAGAGAGAGAGAGAAGAAATGAGTGGGGTGAATAGGGTGAGAATGTTAGAGCGGAGGGAGGAGAGAGCGAGTGGGCGAGAGGGAAAGGGGGGGGGTTGAGATATTGGAAGAGATGGAAGAGTTATGGAGAGGGAGTGGAGGAGGAGGAGACAACGATGTTTGTTGACGTCCTGAGTGGAGAGGTGAGGTCCCCCCCCCCCACTGCCTCCCCCAAATAAGAGGGAGGGAGGGACGGATGCAGAAGAAGAGAGGAAGAAAGGGAGTGAAAGAGGGATAGAGAGGGAAGGAAAGGAGGATTAGTACAGCGATTTATACTCAGTAATGACATCATATCACCTGAAGATAAGACACCTTTCTTTTCGCCTCACCTGTCATACACGCACCACAGACCCACTCCCTCACCACAGCCCTCACCACAGCCCTCAGCCACTCCCTTACCTTGTCTGGGCCGCTGGCAGATGAAGTCCCCGGAGTAACAGACACACTCGCCCCTGTAAGCTTGGTAGGCCGGGGCGTTGTGGTTGTACACGGCATAATTCGTCTCACACGGTCGGTTCTCCACACACGCCAACACCTGTATAGGGAGGGAGGGAGGGAGGGAGGGCAGGTGTGTAGCGTTTGGTTAGGTTAGGTTAGTTACAGCATGTGTGGGTGAAGTTTATAAAGCGATCAGTATATCCGCCTATCTTGTTATTAGTCAGTGAAAGAGTTAAAGTAGAGAGGTAACTGAAGGAGACGAGTGAGGGAGATAAGTGAGGCAGGTAGGTGAAGGAAGTGAGACAGGTAGGAGGGGCTGGGAGGTACTCACCTTACACCTGGTCTGCTCATGGCGCTCACAGAAGCACAACTCAGAGCAGTCACTGTCTCCCTCCTTGTAGAGCTGTGAGGAGACAAGGATATGGTATGTCAATCTATGTACCTCGGGGTGAGAGTACTGTAACAATATGTTCAAGGAGAGATCAGCTTGTTAAGACTCACGCTCCCGAGGCTAGGATATACCACCCCGCTACCTGGTCACTGAAGGTGCTCTCAGTCACACCACTCACAGGTCTTAACATACACACACTCACCCTCATGCTGCTTCCCTCCTCGATGATGTGCGACTTGAAGTCCCAAGACCCCGTCACCTCACAGTACCCTGCAACACAAACACCTTCACTAGTAAAACTGACATTAAAATACTCAGTTATATATACCGGTACACACACATCCATATATACTCGTGGTTTCGTCACTCAAAGTCGAAGAAAAGTCAATGGACATCGAAGACGTTATCAAGGCCAGAAACTCCATGGCTTCAATCATCAACAGTACGACAAACAGGTTCAAACATCACCCAAGGCGCCATCACTCAAGACCGAAGTATCGCTTGAGGTTGAAACTCCTTCATTTAAATACGAAAATCTCATTTTAAGATAGCCACACGTCTCTCAGGCCAGGCGTAGCGGGTGGGTGAGTTGAGTCATCAACAGAGAGACCTCCTAACACCGCCTGACAACCTTCTGGACACTCTGGAATATCTCAACCACACAGTTTTACGTGGTGGAGGAGGAGGAGGCGCAGGAGGAGGAGGAGGTGGGGGAGGAAGTGTGTGTGTGTGTGTGTGTAAGTCTGGTGAAGCTGTCTCTCTTGACGCTGACAAATGCCGCCAAGATGTTACGAGTGAGTAAAAGATTTTGGAATAAACCAGACTGGACAGGAGAAGACATTTCCCTTGAGTTATTGTTTCTTTTTTTCCGGGGGCTGAGAGAGAAAGTTGGTCTTCCTCTAACAATGTTTTCTTACGGTCTATTTTTTAAGAAGCTTTTCTTTATTGACGGGGCCCTGAATGTTTAACTTTGTCCACTCTACCGGCGCCTTATGTTACAAAAAATACAGCAAGTTTGTCCTACTGTGTATATATATAGTTTGTAGATTCCATATTTGTTTTTTTTTCTAATATTTCAAGATGGAACACACAAACATACACACACACACACACACACACACACACACACACACACACACACACACACACACACACACACACACACACACACACACACACACACACACACACACACACACACAGTATAACAACATTCTAGGTATTAGTTTCCTGGTGATGTACTATGAGTCATGAATACAAGATACATATAATAATATCCTTCCTCATCAAGGCTGTACGTGAGAGAAGGACCTGCAGCTGAAACGCGCGAGACATCACCGCCCAGTACTAACACCCAGCGACACAGATCTTACGACTCAATAAACATAACACGACTGGAGTACCTCAAGGTCAGTACTTATGTCAACTTCTGTTTTGTTGACCTACTTGATTTAATGTTTGCGTCTTATAGGTCGTACTCTGGTCTGTAATGGGTAATGATACAACACAATACGCCATACACTATACCATACAACATACAGTAATCCAGCATGACACTTTTCTGGTCACTTTGAGCCACTTAGAGTCACTTGAATTACCGGAGTTGTAAAAAAATCGAAACAAACTTTATATTATAGCAAGTGTAAGTGATGGTGGTACTTACTCTCCGGTAATGTGGTAGTGGTAGGCGGGTTGGTAGTGGTTGTAGTTGTGGTAGTGGTGGTAGTGGTGGTGGAGGAGGACGGGGCGGCAGGAGCAGCCTGAGGGAGGGTGTGGTCACTCTGGGCGGTGCTCGCTACCTTCCTCGCCTGTAATCGTGTGCCGTCCACCTGCATCAGCTCGGCGTCTGCATCCTTCTGGTCGTCTACTGGGTCGTATCCGTTGTCGTCGTGGTTGTAGTTGTCCCCACGACCTACTGCGTACTGGGGCGCCGGGTCCTTCTCTCCTGGGGGTCACGAGAGAATAAAATCTAATACCAACTTCAAGGAACGTTTGTGATTCATTATAAGATTCATTACTAAATCATAACAACACTTAGACATCTTGGAGGAAAAAAAATTATAACTATGATTTGATTCCACTGATCTAATATTCATAAACCAAATTATTATCCTTATACACAGCCATCCACAAGAACAAGTAGAGTCGATATGCATCCTAACTTAACATTTGAAGTGTGTTTTCAAGTGCGTCTTCACCCAGCATTTGTAGAATCACTAAGAACATATAGAAAGTATTTGACAAGTAATTCGTCTCAGATACACCAAAACAAAGTCGTATTCCTCCTTCCTCCTCGTTGTCAACTGTGGGAATCATCTCCTATACAACATACAAGACGCAACGCAAACTTGAGATGTTTGAGCGAATAATGGGCCGTCGGGAACACATCTGAGCTGTTTGGTGGACGATTTAACTGTACGAAACCTCTTCCCTCTGCCTTCCCCACTCACTCTGGTGCTACTCGACCTGGTCCCTCTGCCTCCCCCACTCACTCTGGTGCTGCTGGTCCCCCTGCCTCCCCCACTCACTCTGGTGCTACTGGTCCCCCTGCCCCCACCACTCTGCTCGACCTGGTCTCTCTGCCTCCCCCACCACTCTGGTGCTGCTCGACCTGGTCTCTCTGCCTCCCCCACTCACTCTGGTGCTACTGACCTGGTCCCCCCTGCCCCCCACTCACTCTGGTGCTGCTCGACCTGGTCCCTCTGCCTCCCCCACTCACTCTGGTGCTACTCGACCTGGTCCCTCTGCCTCCCCCACTCACCCTGGTGCTGGTCGACCTGGTCATGGTGGTCGACGGTGAAGGAGGACATCAACTCGTCGGCGCTGCTACCCAGGCGCATCAGGTGGTAAGAGAGCTGAGACTCCACTGTCAACACAGGAAGAGGTGTATTAGAGACACTTAACCCAGAAATATAAGTAGAAATTTAAGTATAGTGAATAATGTACATATAAAGGGGAATATATATCGATGTTATCAATGACTTTAATCCGGTAAGACCACACAGGTAAGACCATTAAGACAACACAGGTAAGACCACACAGGTAAGACCATTAAGACAACACAGGTAAGACCATTAAGACCACACAGGTAAGACCACACAGGTAAGACCATTAAGACCACACAGGTAAGACAAGAGAATAAAGGTAAAGACAAAAGCTTTTAAAAAGTTAGAGCAGTTTGTGGTGAAGTTATCGTTGTTGAGAGCCTTAACAGGTACACACACTCCATGCCAGATTATTATATTGTCTCTCTCTCTCTCTCTCTCTCTCTCTCTCTCTTTCTCTCTCTTTACTTTCTCTTTAACCCTCTCTCTGGTTCAGCTAACTCATAAAGCTAAGATGTACAGCTACGCATAATGTACACAAAAGCTAACATGAAAGTTATGTTGGATTTCTTACTTGACTGAACTAAAAAACTGAAACTTGACTGAATTTAACACAAGGACGAAAATTATCCCCCCCCCACAAAAAAAACAAAACCTAAGACACTAAAACAGGCAGACAATAAAACAAGGTTCCACTCGGGCGGGGTAAAAGAAGTAAAAAAAAAAATACTGTAGTGTTATTCATGAAAATTGTTGCTACATATTTTTTCCATTTAGATTATTTTGTGTACTGTAGCGTGAAACAGATACAAGGCGAGTTAAAAAAAATATGTGTTTATATTCTCCTTATTTGCATTTAATTGTTTGTGTTGTGTTAAATTAGTGAGTTAATGGTTAAAATTAGGTTAATCTGTTATGGTATATTAACTAGATATCCGAGATTATTATTTTTTTGTGATTTTAACTTTATTGTTTTTTGTTGTTGTTTTAATGATAACTTGACCTACAAAGATAATACTATAAGTTATCCTCCATCTGCGTCATCTTGTATACAAAGTTATCGTAAATAAGATCACTCTCCCTAATTTCTTCATGATGTTGAATTTCTAACTTAAGGCACAACAGGACCTAAAGTTAATGGGCTATTGATCAAGTTATAGGTACTGTGTGTAGCTATAGGTTGTACTATAACACTGGTCAGGTTATAGGTACTGTGTGTAGCTATAGGTTGTGGCCTTCAACACTGGTCAGGTTATAGGTACTGTGTGTAGCTGTAGGTTGTGGGCTATAACACTGGTCAGGTTATAGGTACCGTGTGTACTATAGGTTGCGGGCCTATAACACTGGTCAGGTTATAGGTACTGTGTGTAGCTGTAGGTTGTGTCTATAACACTGGTCAGGCAGGTACTGTGTGTAGCTATAGGTTGTGGGGGTCTTAAGACTTTGTTGATGTTTCTAGAAGTGATGTACAGATGTGTAGTCTTGGTGTTGTTTACAGAGTCAGTGTGTTACTGTTACACGTGGCTGACCTACACAACAGTGCCACACTTGACTGACCTACACAACAGTGCCACACTTGACTGACCTACACAACAGTGCCACACTTGACTGACCTACACAACAGTGCCACACTTGACTGACCTACACAACAGTGCCACACTTGACTGACCTACACAACAGTGCCACACTTGACTGACCTACACAAGGGTTGCCCCAGAGGAGACGCTTCCAGGCGAGGCACTGGTTGATGTCCTGGAAGGAGTTTCCCTTACACACACAGTTGGTGTGCAGGTCAGTACCCAGCAGGCTAAGCATGGCCTTGGTACACTCCTGATGTTGGCCCGCACACCTCCCTGTCATAGTGTCCGCTGCACACGACAGTTCGTAGTGCTCCAGCCTGTACCTGGTGGTTAGTGGTAATTACTGGTGGTTAGTGGTACTTAATGGTAGTTAGTAACGTTAGACGAGTAATATAGATAAGTGATATAGATAATTAATTCATGGTAGATAATGGTTGTTGGTAGTAATTAGTGTTATTAATGTTAGCAAATGAAACACTGAATGAGGGAGAGTAGGAGGAAGAAGAACCACAAAATATTTTCCATAAAAATAGAATGAGGAGATGATGAAGAGGTGAATAAAGACGATGTAGAGAAGAAGAAGAAGAATGACGACGATGGAGGTATGACGTGTGATCTGGAGGCTCACCAAGGCGGGGGGGGGGGGCGGGGGGGCGGGGTATTCATCACGCCCACACGCCCCTATTGAGGAGCAAATGGGCGTGACCTAACCAAGGGTTTTGTCGTAGTTGGACTGACTGACTCCGCCATCTCTGTTGTTGTTTTTATTATTGTTTTTGTTTGTCTTTGATTTAGTTGTTTCTTCTTATTTATTTATTTAGTTTTAATCATCTTGTTTATTTACATTTATTCCTTTATTAACTTAATTCATTAATTTCTGTATTTGTTTATGTATTCACTCGTTCAATTAATTGTTTACATTCAGTTTTTGCAATTAAAAACAGAATACATGTATGTATGTATGTATGTATGTATGTATGTATGTATGTATGTATGTATGTATGTATGTATGTATAAATATATGTATATTTATATTTTTTGCATATTTCTGTGCTTACATAGTTGGAGAGAGAGAGAGAGAGAGAGAGAGAGAGCCACTTACCTACAGACACGGTCACTCCTACAGTCACGACCAAGGTTATGACACTGACGAGCTGACACCGACTCCGACATCTGAGCACAGGGTGGGTGAAGGCGTCGCTGTGCCCTCATACACTCCGTCTCGCCATGTTTACTCGAGTCCCTAGTGACAGACCGGGAGAATATGGTGGTGAGAACTAGTCCACTATGGAAATAAACTTAAGGTCATATTTTTCACTATATCATAAATATCTAAAACTTAAAAATGCAAGTTAAGTTCACCTCAAGAATCAACCTCGACGACTTCGTGCTGAGAGAGAGTTACGGAAGGTGACAACACAAACACCAGCCCACATAACTAAGGCTTACCTAAGTTAATCTCATTATGTAAGAGTATAAGTTTTTATGACAGTTTTCTGGGGTTAATCTTTCACCAGGACAACACTAAGACGAATTCCTCAACCTCCTCTGTTTACCGTCATGTTCATACAAGCTCAGGACAACTTTCAGAGCCCTAACGCGACAGTCCACAATATATATTACTGTGCCTGGGACGAGCCTCTTCAGGACAATTACCAAGACCAGTTTGCCAAGTGATCCTCCTGAGGACAACCTCCAAGTGTCTCTCGAGGACGACCTCTATTACACACTTCTTGAACGACCCTCGGTAGAACAACATGTGAAAGTGGGTCTCGTAGTCATGACAGCCCATTAGGGAGTTTGTACAATAAGTCTCCGGTACACAAGGAGGCAGCGTGACCAGCACTGCACTCGACCGCCTTCAGCTTCCTCAACTACCAAAGTTAGGTGCCCATTTACAGCTGGGTGGACCAGGAATGCCCCGGAGTCGAACCAAAAACCCCCAGGATAGGAAACGAGGTTTGCACCCACTCAGCCACTGCACTACAGAAACTCCCAAAGGTCATAAAGCGACCATAGTACACGAACCTCGAGGACCACATCCCTAATGCTCCTCGAGTGAGACACAGAAGGATATCCTTCAGAAAGAATCCTTCAACAATCATTATAACCGAGCCTGAAGGACTTCCTCCTCGGATATATTCCTTAGACTATCAACTCTAAGGACAACCTCCAGCAAATATCCCCTTTAGGAGAAAAAGGACACAACCGCTTCCTGCAGCTTGGTTATGTTAGGTTACTAGGTTAGGACACGTCCGAGTACATAGCAGGCGGGGTCATGGTAGGTTACGTTCGGGTACATAAGCAGGCGGGGTCATGGTAGGTCACGTTCGGGTACATAAGCAGGCGGGGTCATGGTAGGTCACGTTCTGGTACTAATACCAGTCTTAGGTCAACATCTTTAAGGATTAAGTTCACAGGATGTTCTCCCTCCGTCGACCCCACCAGGAGGATAAATTAGTCTCTTCCTCATGTACAGTCGCGGACAAAAGTTTCCCCCCCCCACCCAGTAGTGAGACGGAGTAGCAGGAACGAGTCTCCGAAGTGACTGACCCTGATGTCGTCTGCTGCGGGTGTGTCGATCTATCTCATTTAGGGTCGATACTGCTTCAGTATGGGAGGCCCAGGAAAGGGGTGGGACCTTTTATTCAAGATTGTACACTGTTTATTTATATACCTGCTGAACCAATTGTAAACTTGTATGACGATTTTACTGAATATCTATCTATCTATCTATCTATCTACAGCATTACAGCAAGAACCTGAAGGAGGTGGTGAGACTGACCTACAGACGCAGAGGGCGATCTTAAGGGCGAGGTCTTGGTTGTTCTCCATCAGGAACTTGTAGATGTCCTGGATGGAGCTCCTGCAGGCGTCCTTGTGGCAGTAGGCGGAACCACACTGTCTGGTCACCAGCTCCAGGTGGCTGCAGGGAACACAACAACGCGACGCCCGAGTCAAATATACAATACAAAATCACAGTAATGACATACATATATAAATGCCTGAAAATTGCATTGAATCCACATTTTCTTGTGTTTTCAATTAATTCAAAGCTGTGAGAAATGTTGTGGTTAAGAACAAGTGTTTCTAGTGTAATGGTTCTGAGGCGTAAAGGAATTTGTTGTCGTGAGTGACTTGTAAATATTTCGAGGCAAGTGTGATGGGAGAACACTTTGACACACACAGACACACACACACACACACACACACACACACGAGTATATACTGTACATGCATAGATTATAAACTCACACAATATTATTCTTTACATCAATGTGAACCAAAAGCAACATCCTAAAGGTGTGATCATCACCTACACCTTGAACAATAAACAAATGAGAATAAAGTATCGATATTTCTCTTATTGTCTCACCTTCGACAGGTAGAATCAGCTAGGCAGTCCTGTAGGGAGGAGTGACAGGTACTGGCCACGTGCCTCAGCTGCTCCAGAGAGACGTTGTGGTCTGCCTCTGTTTACAGCGTCGCCAGCGGGGGAAGAGGAACAACAACAATGCCATGGGAGGGGGAAATGGAACTCGTGGATGAAGGTAATGTATGGACTAAATCTTTGCATAATTCTCTGATGTATTTTGATGCCGTAATTCTTCGATTTCTTTCTTTTAATAACACAATTATCAGTTGATCTAATATATGAATGATCGTTAGTGATAGTGAATAGGTTATTTATGCATTATACACTGTAGGAATTACTTTGAAGAATATATTTAATTAACATATCTTTGTTTTCAATTATTTAGATTTATTTTGGTCCTTCTAATCATACATTACCCAGACTAAACATAAGACACACGTGGTTATGATTATACCTTTCTAACAGTAATTGTGCGAGAGTATATTCCATCATTCTCAAGTGTCCCTGGTGCTGGTGCGGCAAGCAAGATTCAGTGCTCCTAGACCATCATGCTTCTTCCATGCTTTCATATGTGGTTGCCTTAACACCTAAGACAAACCTACAAGCAAGATAACTTTTTTTTTTTTGGTTCCCTCTCTCCTGGGCCGCTAGTGTGTGACTCTCGTTGGAGGTGGTAGAGAGGTGGGTCTTAATTCACCTTCAAAGTTACTGTACTGAGTTAATGGTTAAGTTAAAAAGTCACTGCTCTATCCACCTCCAAGGTCAACACACACACACACACACACACACACACACACACACACACACACACACACACACACACGTCTTCTCGTAATCAAAACCTCCGTGCGGTTCACTTACACCTACCCAGTTTAGTTTGAAGTATTTACACAACGTTTTATTATGCATGCGACAGTATTTAGTGGTAGCTTAGTTATGCTGTTTACATTCTTAAGGCGACCTGAAGCGTGTTATTTGCTTTAGTGAGTGATTAAGATAAACACAATGTACGCCAAATTGTATTCAGACCATCGACGACACCTGTACAGTAGACCACACAGGTAAGGGGTCACTATTCTCATGACACAGTATTGAGTGGATATAGTAGACCCCTGTTTGGTTAAGTGAGGAAGTAGGTTATTTCATTATCTTTCCTTCCCTCTTCCTCCTTCCCTCTTCCTCCTCCCCTCTTCCTCCTTCCCTCTTCCTTCTTCCCTCTTCCATCTTCCCTCTTTCTTCCCCTGCCTATAAAAATCAACATGATGTTTATCCCTCTTGTTACACCATCGTCAAGTTATTCAATGGTTTAATGCGCTACACTCACGTCATTAACCTCGTCTCACTAGATAAACAATAACATTAATATATGAACCGCCAAAGCCACTTGTCTTCTCTCAATAGGATTAATTTAATAAGTTAATGGTACTTTTGTTCCATGTCTGAAACAAAAGGGGCATGAGGCCTCCAGTCAGTGTTAACCATGTGGTGGATGTCTCTGATAGGCTGAGGTCCATGATGTCACATGGAGGACGTCTCTCATTGGTTGAGGTTCATGACGTCAGATGATGGACGTCTCTCATAGGCTAATGTTCATGACGTCGGATGATGGACGTCTCTCATAGGCTAAACTTAATGACATCAGCCACAAATTTGACACAGAAAACATTTTAATCTTTTTTATCCCTTATTAATATCAATAATGCTCTTGGAAACTTATAATATATAGTATTTAATATAAAGTATTATACATTTTCTAATGGTTTCCTATATTCCTAAGGCTAATAAACGTTCCTAACTGTTGGTATAAATATTAAAAGTTCAGATAAAATATCCTCTGTAGAATCTCAAAAAACACTACTTCTGGAGAAATATCCCCAAAATACAGGAAAAATACCCTAGTTAGTGGTGAAAAAGAAAACACATCAAAGAAAACGGAATGACCTAATTATTACACCTACTAAAACTAACTTCCCCATTTCAAGCAATTTTCAACTTTCTTTCCCATTTTTATTTTACTTTTTCGAGTTTAATGGTTATTTTAAGAGAAGCAGTTGAGAAGCTGTGCCTCGGCTACTGCCACTACCACAAGCTTTAATACTGGAAGCGGTGCGGTGATGGCTGTTGGCTGGGTGAGGTACAGTACATTGACTCACGGACGCTCAGTTATAGTGCTTTTGGTGCTGGGCCTAGGTGCTGGGAGGCTAGGTACTGCTGGGGGGGGAGGCTAGGTACTACAGAGGGTGGTTGGTAGGTGTGCTGGGATAGGTGCTAAGCGGTGCTAGGAGGGTAGGTGAGGAAGAGGAAGGATAGGGGGAATCTTGAGGTGCTAGGAAGGTGAGATAGGGAAGGTACACACAGTGCCTACAGGTTGGTCGAGGATCATCATATACCATGCAAGGGCGGTTAGTGATCCAGTGAGGCCTGAGGATGGTGCCAAGTGACTCAGTATGGTGCTTTATGGTGGCCTGAGGATGGTGCCAAGTGACTCAGTATGGTGCTTTATGGTGGCCTGAGGATGGTGCCAAGTGACTCAGTATGGTGCTTTATGGTGGCCTGAGGATGGTGCCAAGTGACTCAGTATGGTGCTTTATGGTGACCTGAGGATGGTGCCAAGTGACTCAGTATGGTGCTTTATGGTGACCTGAGGATGGTGCCAAGTGACTCAGTATGGTGCTTTATGGTACAATATGAACTATAGAAATGGTATTATAGTGATGAGAAAGAACTGGTGCTATCCTTATGCTACGTGGTACAGTATGGCTACAAGACTGGTGTTATGTGGGACAATATAACTTATAAACTAGTGCAGTAATGGTACAATATGGCTAGGAGTGACGCTGTGTGGTACAATATAACTAAAGCTGGCTTAAAATAGTACAGTATAACTACAACAGGTGCTTTATGATACAATATGACTAGGACTGGTGCTCTATGATACAATATAACTAAAACAAGTGCTATAGTGATACAGTATAACGCTACAACAGGTGCCATTGTCGTACAGTATAATTAGGAATGGTGCCAAGGTAGACAATATGACCCGAGAGGTGCAATATATATATGTGTGTGTGTGTGTGTGTGTGTGTGTGTGTGTGTGTGTGTGTGTGTGTTGACGTGATAGAGAGAAAGAGACAAGACAGAACAAACCAGTGACGATACAAACAATTACTCTCTAGCATCACCTTCAGATCGCTGAGTTCAACCTACCGGTGGTGGTGGTGGTAGTGGTGGAGGTGTGATAAGATTCAGCTACAGGTGTTGATAGAAGTAAGGTGATAGGAATATAGTACGAAATTATTATCAAACTTAACTAAATCATCATTATATTTAACATTACGTGTATAAGCCATCAATAGATTCCAATTTAAAGTGATGATATAAAGTTTACCTGAAAGAAAGTATTTACCTCCACCCTTTAATAAGTTAACTTCAGGTATATAAAGTTAAGGATTTATTCTTTTAATGTAATATTACTATATACAGATACTATTAGCATTACAGTCTGCAGGTATGATGAGGTTGTGTTTGTGTTCAGGTGTGTCCAGGTGTGTTCAGGTGTGTAGAGCCACCGTAACATACAAACACTAACTACATATGTCAGACCGTAAGTACAGCGTTGGGTGACAGATAAAACAATGCAGATTTCTAAACACAGATAACACCTTTGTATCGTGAACACAGACCAGTTGACTGAAGGACAAACAGGTGCTGAACAGTTTGTTTACCAGTTGAGGAGACGAGGAAAGAAGGTCTGATGCAGGGAGAGTGTGTGTTAAGTTATCCTGGCTGGCTTCTTCACAACCTGTGTGTGTGTGTGCGTGTGTGTGTGTATGTATGTATGTGTGTGTATGTGTGTGTGTGTGTGTGTGTGTGTGTGGAAAACGTTCTTTGTATTGAGAAGGCAGAATGAGACAAAAATAATATGGTGTTAAGGACGACACGTGTAAAGTTGATGACGCAGGTGTGATGATGATGACACAGGTGTAAAGTTGATGACGCAGGTGTTAAGTTGATGACGCAGGTGTTAAGTTGATGACGCAGGTGTAAAATTCATGACACAGGTGTGATGATGATGACAAATGTGTAAAGTTGATGAGTCAGGTGTGGGAAGGTGTGGTAGTGTTGGCGAGACAGGTGAGGCAGAACTGTGGAGGCACGTACTGGAGGCCGGGAGGTGCTGGAGGTAGTGGTGGATGGTGGAGAGGGGGTAGAGAGGATCAGCGTGGGAGGAGGAGATGATGAGGAGCGTGGCAGCCCCTGTTGGCACTGGCACCGGCCGGGTGAGCTGAGTGCTCAGGGCGGCACTCACCCGAGACATAAGTGCCACGCGCCCCGGGTAACTCTCCCCTGTAAGGTGACACCTACGCGTCACTAACACGTCACTCACAAGTGGTACTTACACGTGTCACACTTAAGTGGTACACACACACACTCACGCACACGACACTCCTAGGTGGTACACACACACACACACACACACACACACACACACACACACACACACACACACACACACACAATGGAGTGTAAATTGGGTTAAAAAAAGTAAAAATTCCTATAAAAAATATCCAAGCCAATTTGTCCAGGTAACCAATGACGTCAGACGAGGGAATGAAAGAAGAACTACTGCATTAACAACCAAAATACAACGTCTTTAATAAACATCAATCATAATCCACAACTTTATGTAATTTACGTTAATAAGTCATAGCAAATAAATCATTACTTATTCATATATATGTAAGTGTTGTGGTGGAGACATCTGACAACCCCGACAGGTATACTGAAAAACACCAGGCAACACATCTGACTTTCTGGAGCGAAATTATTTATACCGTATTATATTCTACACAATTACTATCATTAACCTGTAATATATTCTTTAATACTCTTGTAAATATCCCGAGTATAAATTGTAAGAAGTAAAACTTTTAACCTTTGACCCTATTGAAGTATCTTGTGTTGTTCCTTGTTATTGCTCAACACAACGGGATCAAGGTTGAGTTGGGGAAGCTTTCTAGGGCGTTGTGTTTTATGTTGATGCAATAACACGGGACACGGTGTTTTGTTTCAATATTTGTATGTTGTTTATGATCGGTTATGGTGGGTGTGACGTCAGGTGAGTGTGACGTCAGGAGGGTGTGACGTCAGGTGAGTGTGACGTCAGGTGAGTGTGACGTCAAGAGGGTGTGACGTTAGGAGGGTGTGACGTCAGTACAATAACCCGTATCGCTATTATTACATAACTTAGTTCTCAATAATCGTCATCAATTAAATAAACAACAACAGGTAACACATCAAACAAACAACAACACGTGTTTGTCTCTGAGCCTAACGTGTCAAAGACTCGATAATATTTTCACCAAGAACAAATGAAAATAAAGTTGTTCTCTCTCTCTCTCTCTCTCTCTC